TAAGAAACACTTACATATAAGTTGATATCATAAACACTAACGACTGTTAAAATAATCTTTTAACTGGGCTTTAAGTGCCGATTTAGAAACATAAAGTCCAAGTCTAAACAATTTGCGAAAAAGTTAAACTCAGCTTCTTTCTTCTTCTTTTTTCTTCTTTTTGGCGCTGTAACCGCCTAAGCGATTTTGGCCGAGTTCAGCAAAGCACGCCAGTCGTTTCTCCTCTGTGCCAACTGACGCCAATTGGAAACGCCAAGTAAAGCCAAGTCCTTCTCCACCAGATCTTTCCATCGCAGTGGGGGCCTCCCTCTTCCTCTGCTACCACCTAACCGCTACCTAGTAACCGCTGTAGCTCTGGTAGTTTGTGGACCACATTACTCAGGCCAGTGGAACGATGATGATGCGGGCGGATTGTTGTCTCAGACATACGATAGTGGGAGCGACGATATCTTGGAGCCTGCTGCCTATGGGGGTGACTCGTACCGGTGTCTGGGCGCCAACGTTGCACTATCGACTCCCGTTTCTGACGCCAATGCTTGTACGCGCGGCCGGGGCACATTGGCGTGCGAGGGGCGGAGCGATTTGGTTCCCTTCTACGGTGAAGTCCCTTTTCGCGTGGGTGAGCGCAAGGCAATTTAGGCAATGCCCATGTGCTCGTTCCGCCTGGATGTGGGCGGTGGCATAAGCCACAACGAACGCTATTTTGGCTGCAGTATATTGCGGCGGCATGTGTGTAACCCGAGCAGCTAGGATACTGGTGATTCCGGGTATGCCGCAAGAGGAATGGCGGAGGTGCGGTAGCAATCTCAACGTCCATTTCTGTAGGGAGAAACGCGACTTTAAGTTTGGGTGGAAATTAGGTGTATGGGTTTAAGCTGCCGATTAGTAGGTCAATCTGGTTAAATTGGTTTTCTTTCATCTGCGGTTTGGTGAAGATAACGTTTTACGTGCGCACGTTTAATACTCGTATATGATTATTGGCGACTGAATTCGTGATGGAGAATTTTTCATCCGTTCCCATCGATTTATAAGGGATAATGATAGCTCGTCTGGTTCGGGTATTGCCAGAAGTGAAGCTACTCTAAGAGCATGACCGAGAATAAGGTCAGGAAGGGATCTTGCGAGAGTGCAGAGAGGGGCCGTGAGTTAAGAACGGCTTCAATTCGAGCTAATAATGTAGTGAATTTTTTAAAGTTTACTGCGTGATTGCCAGAGATAAGTTCTTTGGGCGAGACTTTTAATCTTACTATTTTATTATTATTATTTTTTTTCCAGTTCCTCTTTGCCCTCTGGGGAATGTTTTTGTCGCTACTTGTCTTAATATTTTTTGGATGAAAATCCTTACCGGCCGATGAGGAAAATGTCTAGGGAAAAGCCGCACAAGTCAGACCATATTTCAACTCGAGGTGAATCGTCATTGTTGTAGAATAAATAAAGACGACCACAAAGCCCTTCAAGTAAGTTGAGGTCCCTGGCACGGAAGCATTTAACTCGAAAGACCCAGCAAGGATAACAACAGTGTTGATAAAGAGCAGAGCGAAATAGCCGCACTTGGGCATTGTGGCTAAACTCGTGGACGATATATCTTTCGTCGGGCTATTTGTTGGTGATGCGATAACCGGCTTGGCATAACTTCCAAAATCTTATTCTTTGTGAATTAGGGCGTTCACCTCCTTAGCTTGAGTTACGAAAGTTGATTTTTTTTGCTGGCACTTGGCCGCTTAGAATCCACCCGAATATAGTATTTTGGGCTAATAGGGTGTTAGAAATTTTTACAACGCCTTCAAGCATGATTTTGGGTATTAGGTCCGTGCCTAATAGGATATCAACTTGCGTGGGGGTGTGGCAGTTGGGATCCGCTAAATTGATGTGGGCAAATTTTTGGCGATAATTTCCGTTTATTTTATAGCTTGGAAGCATATTTGTCAGTTGCGGTAGAACTATGGCGTGTGCTTCTGTTCTTACATCCGCATTGGGGGAAATCAGGGTTAAAGAGCAGATTTTATTGAAGTTTTGGATTACTCTTCCACCCATTCCCGAAATTTCAAAGTTTGAATTTTTTGTTGGTAGCTTTAGTCGGTTCTGTGCTTCTGTCGAGATAAAAGATCTTTGTGAACCTTGATCTATTAGAGCTCTAAGCTTAAATAGTTCTCCTCGGTGTTCGATGGAGATAACTGCAGTGGGAAGTAAAATGTTGCTTTCATTGTTTGAATGCAGAGCTTGTAAAGTTGATGCTTTTGAGCAGCATGGTTCTTGTGTAATTTCGGGGTCCTGCGTTTTGGGGTCTTCGGGTCTAGTTGTTGCCGCTAGACTAGTAGTTCTGCCAGACTTAAATCTTTTTTTGGGTGTGCTTGTAAAGTTTGTTATGTGGAGCATCGAATGATGTCTCCTTTGACAATACACGCAGTTAACTTTGCTCCCGCAGTCATTAAACCTATGAGATTGAGATAAGCAATTGGTACAAAGCCTAGAGCTTCTAGCGAATTCATTTCTTTCGTTTATTGTGAGTTTTTTAAATCTCGCAAGAACTTAATTTGTGACCTCCTTTTCACAATTCGTATGACGCATATTTATTTTTTATGTATGATTGCGATCTATTGAAGCTTCTATTGTGTGATGTGGGATTTCTGGCTTGGGGTATATTGAAGCTTCTATGTAGATCATTTTGTGTATTTTTGGGTTTTGATAGTTTTTTTATCTACCCTCTCTGCTATTTCGTACTGGGAAGTGAGAAATCTTTCATTTGTTGCCATGTCGGACATTTTTTTCGGGATGGAAGCGATTGCTCTATGGGAGTAAGTAACGATTTTCCTGGCAATGTTGCGGAACATACATTTACCAGAATTTGGTCCCAGTTATCTATGGGAATGATTTGAGTTTTGAATTTTTGGCAAGTTCATTAGAATCGTTACTTGATTGTCGTCATTTAGTCCGAATTGTTTAACTATACTACCTGCTTGACCTTTTGTTTTGTACCTGAGGTGGTACAGTTTTTGTGCCTGGGACAGTTGTGGATGGTTTATGTACACGGCCGTTAACAAGTCCCGGAAGCAAGGCCATTCTTCATAACCGCCGTGAAATAATTCTGTATCACATGCTGGCACTTTGAGGTATATGCCTGAATTTGCTTCTTGCGCTTGGGGTATTTCTACTCTCTGGGGTGGAGTATCTGCGCTAATTGATTTTAATAATTTAAGCTGATCGGAAATCATAGCTTTTGTTTCTTCATATTGGGCAAGGCAGATTTTGTATTTGGCCGAGGCCCAAGCTTTAAAATTAGCGGGAAAAACGGGATCATCCGTTTCAATAATTGTATCGTATGCCGCTTGAAGTCGGACCCAAAAATTGTCAAGGTTATCTCTAGAACCGATTCCGAGTTATCTTATATTGGGGCGGAGGAAAATCGAGTGCAGTATCTTGTTAGACTGTCACTGTCTGAAATAAATCTTGCGGCTGAGTGGTCTTTAGTCTTTTTTTGCTTGGTACCCTGCATTGATCGTGTAGATTCTGCAGGTGTGCACTGAGGGGTTTTATCATCATCGACCATTTTTTGCGCTTTTAAAGGAATTGAGATTTCTTGCTCCTTTACCGGAATTTTATCAGATGGCATTTATATGCAAAAAATTCAAAGTTTTTTTTTCCAGTGTATTTTAACTAAAATGGGATCCTATGGGATCTTAAATTACTTGGATTTATATAAGCACAAATAAACGCAATGTTCTGTTTTGAGTTTTATTTAGATAAATGGGTACGTATTATTATTTTCCGATTTTGATTTTTATTATTTTCCGTAAGGGTATTTGTAGGATTTGAAACAAGTTTTTTTAAATCACTGCAATTTACATATTTCTGTATTTATAATTTTTCACGCTTCTTAATGCTTTCTTTTACGTGTGCTGCGCAGGGTAAATGCAATGCTGGGTTATTATACTGTATTTAAGTATATGTATGAATGTATGTTAATAGCATGCAATGTTAAGCGAGGGTGGATAACTATGTTTACTATCGAACTGTAGGTTTGTGTGTATGTAATTTGATGCTGAAATGCAGATTAGCGATTAATAAGCGTTTGTGTAATTGTTTATACCCACGTATATATGTGCATATATTAATTTGCGATAAAGATGATGGGAGGCCAAAAATTAACCATGCAATTGTTTGCTAATACATTTAGCTATTTATGGGTCTTAGAAGCTGTAATATGATATGTTTACATATATAAATATGCAGTATTTACTGCTACTTCTTTTCAACTTTGTTTCGCCAATCTTTTTCGCGCAAAATTTTTTGTTTCGTTGATATTGTTCCGTCTTATTTCTGCTGCTTATTTTGTATGCAATCCTGCTTTTGCTGGATATGAGTACAAGCGAAAGGTGTATTGCCGGGCAATTATTGCAAGTAGATACTTGAATTTTTTATGTTTTGGGCTTTGGTGTGTTACTAAACCCGAAAAATAAGCTAAAGTACCTGTGTTCAAGCCCTGGTCAAAGCAACATCGCAAAAATTTAGAAAAGGGTTTTTTCTTAACAGCGGTCGTCCCTCGACAGGCAATGGCAAACCTCCGAGTGTATTTCTGCCATGAAAAACAGCTTCTCATAAAAATACAATCGCCGCTCGGAGTCGGCATAAAACTGTAGGTCCCTTCGCTTTGTGTGACAATATCAAGGCGCACGCCACAAGTTGGAGGAGAAGCTCGGCCAAACACTAACATATGTGTGAGCGCCAATCTATTATTATTATTAATTATATTTTTTTTTTTAAGTAGGTAATCAATCACTTTTTTACTTTTGTCAAAGAATATGGTAGCTCGATTTCAAAAGAAAATGCCAAAAGCACAGTTTACGTCAAATGGGAGCAATGGCGGCTAAGAAGGAGAAGTGAAACTACCTTTAAATATTTTTATCATGGTATGTACTACGATTTTTTTTTTTTTGTTCAAACAGTTAGTTGGAACCCTAAATTTTTTACTAATATGTATATTTATGTATGTAAATATGTACCTATATATGTATATAGTGGTTTCCCATGGTGTAATGAACTGAAGATGGCGCATTCCCTTAAACCGCTACTTTGGTTTTGCCGACTTTGACGTTTATGGCAATACGTAAACAAACTTTTTGTTTACAAACAAGTGCAAACGTATTGCAAACGTATTGTGTGAAAAATCGAAGTAATTCGTGCGTTCTAAACTAAAAAAAGTTTTATTTGTAATAAAAACCTTATAAAAATGTCTTGTCGTGTATTCAATTGCCGCAGCCGTAGGGGTAAAGCCCCTAAATGCAGTTTTTTTTTGTTTCCCCGCGACGACGCCTTGGCCAGAAAGTGGGTAGAGTTCTGCTGGCAGGAGAAGCCATACAATTTAGACAACAGCGTAATATGCATGAAGCACTTTACGGATAAGGTACAATTGATAGCACCATTTTTAAACACGGCATGTTAAGTTGAAAACGTTGAAATACCACAAATTACAAATTAACCACTTTCTGCAGGAAAACATGCGCTGCGACAAGATATTATCACTTTTTCGGCACCTGCAATACAAACACAAAAATTCTAAATACAGGTTATTAATAAGACCTATTCTTTTGAACTCATTTCAAGGGTGGTTGTATATTTTTTGTTAACGTTAATCTTAATTTGCTATATTCAAAGATGGCTTGAGAAATTGGTGAATCGTGAAGAAAACACGTTTCCTCGCTGCAAATTCACAACTGTCAACTCATTGCTCTTCGCCATAGTCTTTGTTTACCCGTTGCCACAAATGTCATTCTGCGGGAATGCGCAATCTTGTATTCTATCGTTCTTGGTGGTTTCCGAGCTTTTGATAATGCTGCTTCCTCCTCGTTGAGTGCTTCCCTCGTCGAGTCGATCCAGTGCTTCCTCCTGGTGATGTTGAGGTGACTGTTGGCTTGTTTTGTTTTTGTTGGATGAATTATGTTTTTACTTTAAATTATTTCCCGCCCGATTTTGTACAGATGTTTAATGTGGAAATGATATTGTTTTTAGTGAGTGTAAGTGTTACGCGACGCGCCCGGAGTAAAATATTAAAGTTTATAAATGTATGCATGTAAGTAAGCTCTTCGCCACTTTTCATACAAGTATGTGGTAGCTATGGAACTTGTTGAAATGTTAAATTAGTACAACTTTTCTTTTGTGCTCAGGGTTCGCTTGGTTAATATACCTATTTATTTTTTTGTTAAACCTTGTTTGTTGTTTTTCTTTGTGGACTGTAAAATTAGCTTTTTATATTTTTATATTTTTTTTTTTTGTTTCTCTATAGGTGCCGTCCAGTAAGGCGATGGAGGACCATGAACACTTTGGGCCTTATGGGTCCTTCTAGGTTTTTTTTGGCTTACCACTTGTATCACTTTAACAAAAAGGGACACACTGAATTTCACTTTGAAATTATCACTAATGTATGTTTATTGACAAAATCGGGGGGGCTGTTCGGACACGTCCGCTCGGGGGAAGATCGCAACAATTGTGTCTTTACACATCAAGTAAAATTGACAAGTTATGTGTGTGTGTGTGTATTACAAGTGTGGTGTGTTTACAGAGGTGGCGGAGAAGTTAAATGTCAAAGTGTTTTATTTACAATAGTTGTGTTTTCGTATTATCCAGCAAAAAATATCCAGTAACTTGCCAGTAACCAAATTTCGGAGAGTAAGCTAATATTTACTCCCAATGAGTGAAATATGCAAGAAAGTACGAAAACGCAAAACCAGCAAGAAGTTGCTAGTTTTATGAACAGCTGATTAATTTATTATTTGTTATTTTCCGATGCAATTTTCTTAGAAAACCAGTATTTTCCATCTTATTATATATTTAAATAGGTTTATTTTGTCAATTGCAACTCTAGAAGCACCACAAACAATTATTTTCTTAATGTGATTTACAATAAGCATCAGCCATCAGCTGTTTTTCTTACTAGCAAATAGTTGCTAGTAAAAATTTATCCAGTAAAACTTGCAAGTTCAGCTGTCATTTTTGCTCTCTCAATTTCTCCTCTTTTGCTAGTTTCTTGCAAGTTTTTGCGTACGAAAACGACATCCAGCAAAAAAACAGTAAAACTAGTACTGGATTTACTGGATAGTGCGTACGCGAACAGGGCTAATAGTGTGAATTTATGTGTGTGTGAATGTGGAGTGGATGATGCGACATCTGCTGACGTCGGTTGATGGTGGAGTCGGAGCAGCTCATTTAGCCAAAAGAGTTCAGTTAAAACTTCCTGTTTTTATGTGGTTAAATTAATAATCAGCCATGGCCGTCTTGTTACATGGTTTTGGTCGAGCATTCATCATGGATTCATTCGGCTACAGAAAAGACGAGAACAATTTCACCGGCTATATTTTAAGAAATTCTTCTAATTATCGATTATGGAAATTTTAAGTTATAGCGCATATGAAATCACGTGCGTTAACTGATAATATTGAAGGAAGAGCGCCAACCGCAACTGCAACTCAAGAAGAGAAACATAATTTTGATCGGAACGAGGGGAAAGCCATGAATGCAATTATCCAGTCGTTGGATACTGAGCATGGAAATCTTGTTTTAACATGTAAAACTTTTAAGGAAACGATGGAAAAGATCCGAAGCATTTATGAAAAGAACAGCGACATCCGTGCAATGACTTTATACGAAGAATTTTTCACTGTGAAAATGCGAGATGACGAATCGGTGGCAAGCTATGTGGCTAGAATAAATCAACTGGCGTCAGAAATTGAACAGCAAAATGAAAAATTATCCGATAGATTAAAGATGACACGCATCATTACTGGGTTAACGTCAAATTTCAATTATTATAAAACAGCGTGGTACAATACTAAAGAATACCGAACGATTAATGAGTTGATGTCATCATTACAATTGGAAGAAGAAAATCTAAATCGGCTGAATGGAAAAGACACAGCTAGTTTGAGCGCAGCGTTTTCAGCAAAAACAAAGCCAAAGTCATTTTATCCAAAAGATTTAAAGTCAAAATCAAAAATTTATAATTTGAAGAAGAAAACGAGGTGCAATGCGTGCGGCCATTGGGCAAAGGACAAAGGTTGTCCAAAATATGAAAAATCATCAAGCAAAGACGACAAAAGCAAAGGCAGCAAAGAAGGTGGTGAAATTGCATGGATGGTCGAGGACACAGTTGAATTACAGAGTAAGGAATCTGATAGTTGGTATGTCGATTCTGCAGCTACAAAGCATATGACATTTCATCGAGAGTGGTTTTCTACGCTGCGAAAGTATACGACCGGTAGCAAAGTTAAAGTCGCTAATAATAGTTACTTACAAATCGAAGCAATAGGAACAATTCTGATTGATGTGAAAGTAGACAATCAGTGGAAGCCAGTTCGCCTAGAAAATGTATTGTATGTTCCTGAGCTCAGCGAAAATTTGCTATCAACAAGCATGATAACACAGTGATAATCGACAAAGAAGGTTGCAAATTTGTCGACCAATCAAACGAAGTTGTTGCAGTAACGTAAACGCAACACACTAAATCAGCTTAAAATTAATTTTCGGTTACATATTGACGAATATGCAAAAATAGCTGCTGTTTCACTGCAACATTGGCATCGTCGTTTGGGACATGTGCATGTCGACGCGATTAAGCAAATGTGCAAGGATGGTCTAGTTGGCGGTGTCAGTTTGTCTGATAACGAAAGTTTCTTCTGCGGAGATTGCGTTTATGGTAAAATGACCAGAACAACACACAAAACATCCGTTAAGCGAGCATCAACCAGAGGTGAATATATGCATGTAGACTTCTGCGGTGCGAGTTAAATTAATGTAGTAGGCGGTATACGCTACTTCATGTTACTGAAAGATGAGGCAACTGGTTTTCGCTTTGTGTTTTTTCTAAAGTCAAAAGATGAAACTTACAGTCACTTGAAGTCATTAGTGCCACTTGTTAAAAATATGAATGGTGCGCAAATTAAACATTTTCGGTTCGAAAATGGCAAAGAATTTTTCAATCGAATAGTGCTAACCAACCTATTAAGAAATGAAGGTATTCAACTTGAAGGCATCGCCCCGTACACTCCCGAACAAAATAGTCGCATCGAACGTGACAATCGTAATGTCCAAGAAAGCGCGAGAACGATGCTCATTGCAAGTGGTTTGCCGAAATCACTATGGCCGGAAGCAGTACGCACAGCGACATATTTGTTAAATCGCACAACAAACAGCAATTGCGTTGGTAGCATGCCATATGAAAAATGGTTTCATCGCAAACCATATTTGGGTCACGTCAAGATTTTTGGAACCGTATCTTTTGTGCAGATTCCGAAGCAAACGGGTCAAAGTTTTTATGAGCTGCAATATTCGATTCAACGAGAAGCAAATTGACAAATATGTGATTCACGAAGAATCAGAAATTGAAGATAATGAGGTCGGCAATAATTGTGACCAAGTGTCCGAACAAGCAAATGAAATCGCGTCCCACGAAAAAAATGTTTTAACAAATGACATGTGATGATCAAGAAGCGCGACACAGCGAGCGATATAATTTCTCAACGGAAGACATTCTTCAAATTGCCAAAAATTTTAACCGGAAAATTGGGGGAAACAACCTACTATCTGAAGGTGTTATTAAGGACTATGCTGATTATATGGGATATTTCTATGCCCTACTAATAAATAAGAGTCTCCAAACAGGATCAGTACCGGAAGAATGGAAAATTGCATCAATAGTGCCCGTTAAGGTAAGAAAAACGGTTAAAGCTGAGGAGATTAGGCCCATCAATACTCTCCCTAGCTTGGAGAAAATGGTAGAAACCGTTGTGAAAAACCAGCTACAGTACTATGTGGAATCCAGTAAAATACTCATAAAAGAACAATCTGGATTCAGAGCTAAACATTCCTGTGCGACTGCGCTGAATCTGGTGCTTTGTCAATGGAAAGAAGATCTTAATGTAGTAGCAGTGTTTGTTGATCTTAAAAGAGCATTTGAAACAGTTGATAGGGTCCGAATGTTGGATAAACTAAAATGCATTGGCATAAAAAACACTTATCTTGACTGGTTTAGAAGCTTTCTTTGTAATCGTAGGCAACAAACAATAGAGAATTCAAAGATGTCTAGTAAAATAGCCGTAGACATCGGCTTACCACAGGGCTCAGTTTTGGCACCCCTACTCTTTAATATATATATAAACGATATTAAAAGTGCTTTCAAACATAGTAAAATAAAAGTCTCTTCGGATGATGCCTTGTTAACGATCTGTGATAGGGAACTACAAAATGCAAGAAGATCTTTATTCTTTGTATATGGCTGTGTTCAAATAAACTTAAACTAAAAGACTAACTTTATGGTATTGTCCAGAGCGGCAAATGCTGACTCCATAAACCGTGAATTAAAAATCAGAGATGAAAATATCGTAGAGGTGAAAAGTGTCAAGTACTTAGGAATATACTGTGAGGACCAAATGTCCCTGAAGAATTTGGCCCACACAAATACCCGCCACCAAAGCAGCCAGCCATGCAATAAATCACAGCAACACAAACCAAAGCAGCCAGCCACGCAAAAAGTCATAGCAACACCCGACAGCATCTTCGTTGGCATGACAACGCCACATCACACAGCACCATGTAGCTGCACGACCGCGCAACATAAAAAATGCAGCCTATTAAAGATAGAACACAGCCGCTCAACAGTCAGTCAGCACGAGACTGTGGTCGTGAACAGACGGCTACTGGCAAGAAGTGTCTTCATCTGCACCGGCTCGAGTGTCGGGCTTGATTCCACTTCTGCAACAGCTGCTGGTAGGGTGATTTCTTCTGCATCGGCTTCAGTGTCGGGCTGGACGTCACCTTCCCAGTGGCAGCGCCACAAGCTACTCACGCTGTCACCACAGGCTCTCGTGAAACCGCGTACGGGCGACACCCGCCGCCAGCATCAGCAGAGCGACGTCGGCGAGCGCCACTCACCGGCGCGAACAGAGAGCGGTATTATTGGCGCGACCAGAGCGCAACCCTCCGACATCGACAGAGTGCCACTCACAGGCGCAAACACCACGCTACTCTCCGGCTTCGCCAGAGCGCCACACGTTGACCCGACTAGAGCGGTACTCTCCGGCGTCACCAGAGCGGTACTCACCGACGCGAACAGAGCGCCACTTGTCAACGCCACTAGAGCGCTACACTCCGGCGTCACCAGAGCGCTACTCACCGACGCGAACAGAGCGCCACCTGAGCGCTATTCTCCTGCAGTGCAAGAGCGCCACTCACTGGCGCGATCAGAGCACCATTTACCGGCGTTAGCAGCGCGCCAGCCATCGGCGTCAACAGAATGCTTCCCACCAGTACTAAAGCCACGCCACTACGGCATAACGGGCTAGTAACGGAGCAAGGAGCCGTTACCCAACCACCAGAAGAGACGCTACTGGAAAATTTCTAACGTGATCTTTTTCTTCGTTATATGTTTAATAGAAATTAAGGAAATTTAAGTAATAAAGTACGATTTACCAGAGCCCCTAAACGAAGAAGATATAAAACATTGGTGTACAGGTCAATGGTAGAACCGCACTTTATATACTGCCCTACGATTTTCTTCCTAACGGGGGACTCGCATGTAGATAAGCTGCACAAAATGCAAAACCGAGCGATGAGATTCATCATCAACAAACCGTACGACACACCAACAAAATGTATGCTTGAAACCTTGAATTGGTTAAGCGTGAAGCAACAAGTTTTTTTACCACGCTATGAAATTTGTGTACTATATTAAGAAAGGCAACCTGCCGGATTATCTTAGCGATAATCTCCGATATATAAATGAGACCCATACATATTTGTTGAGAGAATAACAGCTTCAGACTCCCGAAGTATAGAACGGAAGTGGACAAAAAAAATATTTTGTATAAAGGCTTAAATTGCTTTAATGAATTACTAGAGGATATAAAAAATTGTTATACTATCGCTTTTTTCAAGCGGCTGCTATATGGCTATTGTAGAACGCAGCCTATAAGATAGTGATGTATGAATAATAGCGTGGATTGGAAACTAGGCCTTTACAACCACCAAGATATCAAGACTAGGAGGATCGGAAACTCGGCCTTTCCGACTACCTCGAGTACATTAAAATCCTTAGATAATAAACAATAAATGAGCGTATTGGAAACTAGGTCTTTCCAACCGTCACGAACGCGCGACTGGGTGGATCGGAAACTCTGCCTTTTCTGCCACCCAGGAGATATCAAGATACGGAGTAACCCAAAAAGTATAGCGCGGATTGGAAACTCGGCCTTTCCAACCGTCTACATAACTTCCGGACAATTGCATGCTTTTATATTGATATAAAATAATTGCAGTGATAAAGAAATAATGTTATTTAAAAATTTCCGTAGAGCATATCGTATTTAATATTTAAATTTTTCATCTAAATCTAATTATAAGAATGTTAAATCTTTTTTGTAATATAAGTCTAACAGACTGTAAAAAATAAATAAATAAATAAGCCCGCCTACGCAGAAAAGTGTTCTCTGCAAAAGGTGTTTAGCCACTTTTCTTCGCAAAACGTAAAGGAGAATTCTACTTTATGAGGGTTATAATCCCTTAGCGCGGCCGAAGGCCACCTACGCAGAAAAGTGTTCTCTGGAAAAGGTGCCCAGCCCCTTTTCTTCGCAAAACAGAAAGGAGGGTTATAATCCTAAGTACAGCCGAATGCCGCCTACGAAGAAAGAAGGTCTGTGCTAAATACTATCATATTGATCTTTTACCAACTATTTTTAATTAACGTTTTTTACACAAAATCGCCCGATATCCGGCTTTTTAGAAAGTGCGGACTGTCCGCTTTCTAATGGGAGGGGTTTAGGGGGCCATGCCCCGCCCCCTGCGCCGCCCACCCCAAAAACGGTGGGTCAGCTACTAAAAATTTCCCAAATTTCCCTATGCAATTTATCAGCTGTTCATGAAACTTGCAAAAAACTATTACTGGGTTTGCGTTCGCGTACTTTTTTGGATATTTTTTCTATGAGAGCGAGTTCTCGGAAATTAAGTTACTGGAGAGTTGCTGGCAAGTTACTGGATGCGCTTGAGTATTTTTTGAGGATTTTTGTTTTTTAAAAAATTTTTGAGGATAACAAACGCAACCATGTTTTACACAACAGAGTTGTTAAATCGCTCTGCAAATTTTTGAACAGAAAGCCTTTCGAAGTTTTATAAAGAGAGAAATACACCAGACAAACTGCTTGTCAAACATTCTTCTAACCTACATTTTCCATTTCGTCATACACCATGCAAACATGACTCGTTCAAGCAAAAAATTTTAGTTTTCTTCCGGTTAACAATGTAAAAGAGTTTGGTTTTCTTCGATATTTTTCTCTTGCGTCCTCATTCGATGAAAATTCAGTTGCCAATGAGGCGATTTTACCATACACAACTTAAGCGGTTTGATCTAACGACAACATAGCGGCCAAAAAATCAAAAAATTTAGATTTTTGTTCACATTTCCCTCAAACGGCTGGTCAAACCTTCAAACACCCCCGTGCACAACATAAAAAGCTTTACGCAAAGGGATATTTCGCTTGGTTTTCGCTCTTAATCACATCTAAATTTGCTGTTAAATATTCAAAATGTTATCGATAATTTTTTTCATTTCATTGTATTATTTTCAATTTATTTTGAACTTGCAAAATCACGATAACGAATGAAGAGAACAGGCATTGTTCGATCATAAGAATACTCATATTGATTCTTCATTAGATCCAGAAAATTATAGGAAAAAAAGTTTTTGAATTAAAAGATTCTTCAGGTTTATATACATAAGTTTCCCAATTAAAAAAAGTTATATCTGCGTTACTAATATAGCCCTTTCCTAGTGCTTAAGTAGAACGTATATTTAGTAGATTAAACATGTGTAGGACTGACTTGAGGACCAGATTGAGCACTGATATAGTTGCAGCAATATTATATACAAAGTAAGACACATGCCCACGACAGCTGGTTCTACGTACCGGAATGACGCGGGTTTTACCCGAACAAGGGCTGTTCTTTCCGCGATCTAACCCCTTAGGCCGGCCAAGTATCTCAGAAGTTGTTCGTCCATAGGGTTATATTTGCTACGTATTCTTCTGGTAAGGGCTGGCATCATATCATACCCAGGGCCACAAACTTACACCAGATGTGTATGCAAGAGACGGCTACACCACAACTCCACCTCAGTCAAGTGCAATGCTTGCGACTGGTGGAGTCACCTCAAAGTCTGTTCAGGACTACGGACCCATCGGCAGTCGACGACATAATTTGTGGCCCCTGCTGCTCAACCAGAGCAGCCTTCACGCCTAACCCCAGTCCACCTGAGCAGCTCAACACAAACACCACAGCACCACAACACAATAGACCACACCACCACCACGACAGACCACACAAACGCACCACCACCCACACGCCGCCGCCAACAACTCCTGGTTCCTCCTACAATATGCAGTGCGACTCCTGTGACAGGTGGTTCCACTACGATTGTGTCGGGGTGAATAGTAACGTGGCCAACATAAGTTGGAATTGTAAATCTTGCGAATCCGCGCAGACAAATCACGTTGAAAATCGCACTATCGCTCCCCCGACATCTAATGGTGAAATATCTACGGTAACGACCGGGCAACCACAAGCAGCATCGTCGCCAAATACGGACGTACAGAAAAATAATTCTACAGCATTCGGTACACATGGTCAACAACCAATAGGTTCAATTACAACAGCAAGCAATATCATCGTATCAACGGCAACGATAATGACTCCTGCCGTTATCACCTCCAATGCGCATCGCGCGAACCCACCAATGATATATTCAACCGCAATGTTCCCACCTGCCAAGCAACTCCCGGGTCTAGGACAGCAAGCTATGCAACAACCTCTACTTCCACCGATAACTGGCGCTCAATGTGGGGCGCGACTTGATGCAACTCAAGGTTACGACAGCGTAGCCCAACAGCACGTACTACAATTGGAACTCTTGGAAGAAGAGCGAAAAATAGAGCAAAGGTATCTACAAAAAAAGTACGAAATACTAAGCGCAGGCGGTTCGTCTATCGGAATCAACCGTACAACTACAGCTCCGACTTCTTCGCAGCTTGCCGCTAGACAAGTAATTCCAAAGGATTTGCCTACCTTCTGCGGAAATCCGGATGACTGGCTTCTGTTCATAAGTAACTACGAAAACAGCACGCAAGTAGCGGGGTACACCGACGCCGAAAACCTAATGCGGCTGCAGAAGTGTCTCAAGGGAAAGGCCTATGAGACGGTACCCTGCAAATTATTGCTCCCCTCTATGGTCCCGGAAATAACTCAGACACTTAAGATGTGTCTTGGACGTCCAGAGCATATACTAGAATCGTTGGTGGAGAAAGCCAGGGCGATTCCACCGCTGAAGGAAAAACTGGAAAGTCTTATCGACTTCGCGTTGTGCGTGCAAAACATCTGCTCTACGATGGAAGCCTGCCATATGGAGGCGCATCTGAATAATCCAATGTTGGTGAAGGAATTCGTTGACAAGCTTCCAAGCCAACACAAGTTAAATTGGGCAATGTTACAGCGAGACGAGCGAGTACCAATTATTAAAGCGTTTAGTGATTGGATTTTCCAAATAGCCGAAGCAGCAAGTAAGGTGATCACACCACGTGTATCCAAAAAGAGTGGCGTAATTAACGCACACACGCAAGCAACTGGTGTCGAAAATCATAACAAAGTTGGGTGTGTTTTATGCGGGTGCACCGATCATAAAATACAGACGTGTGTAGAATTTAGTAAACTCACCTTGGAGCGCAAGTGGGATGTAGTAAAATCCAATAAATTGTGCAGACAATGCCTTAACATGCACCGCCGAAAGTGTTATGCGAACAGGGAGTGTGGAGTCGATGGTTGCCAATCAAAGCACCACAAGCTTCTTCATAAAAACACGCCGAAGAGCGTATCTACGTATGCTGAGCAAAAGCAAAATACCACACCACCTCTAATAAATAATCAACTGGTAAACACTCATGTAGGTAATGATGAAGATGCACCATGTTTTCGTATAATACCCGTTCGCATACACTCAAAGGGTAAATCCATAAAAACCTTCGCCTTTTTAGACGAGGGATCATCCGTCACATTGATGGAAAAACACATTTATGATTCCTTGGGCTTGGACGGCGAGCTAGAATCACTGTGCCTTCGCTGGACCGGCGAAAACACACGGATCGAAAGCGACTCAATGCGAACGTCGATACAGATTTCAAACGCATACGATAATGCAAAATACGAAATAAATGAAGTGCACACCGTTTCGCGACTGGGCTTGCCTAGCCAGTCTCTTAATATGGAGAAAATTACGAAGAAATACCCTTATCTACGCGTGCTTCCGATCGAGTCATATGAAAATGCCGAGCCGGGTATTCTAATAGGAGCCAATTGTTGGAAACTTGCGGTGCCTATCAAAACTCGTGAGGGACACTGGCTTGAGCCGATCGCCACTAAGTGTCGCTTAGGTTGGACCTTGCAGGGAGGTACTACTAACCACTTTGACTCACAACTATTGAATATTCACATATGTGACTGCGAAAAGAAATACGAAAACCTACACGAAGAGATCAAGGAGTACTTCAGCCTAGAGATGCCGCAAAAAAGAGAGCTCATGTCCCCACAAGACTGTAGAGCGTTGCAAATTCTAAATTCAACGTGTGAAAAAAGAGAGGGCCGCTATGAAGTGGGGTTGTTGTGGAAGCATGACGATGCAAAGTTACCAGTTCTGCATACGCTTCAGATGTATGCAGAAAAAGTTAGCTAAGGACTCCAATTTGCAACGTGACATGCAGAAGCAAATAGACAACTTAATTAGCAAAGGTTACGCAAGAAGGTTAACTGCAGACGAAGTAAATAGATCATACGACCACGAGTGGTACCTGCCGATATTTATCACACTAAACCCCAACAAACCCGGCAAGTTGCGCCTTGTGTGGGACGCTTCGGCCAAATCTGATGGAGCCGCTCTTAACGATTTCCTTCTGTGCGGGCCAGATCTACTCAATTCGCTAGTCTTCGTATTACTGGCTTTTAGAACTGGGCAGTTTGCTATTTGTGGAGACATTGCCGAAATGTTCCACCAGATTCGCGTAAGAGAAATGGACATGCACGCTCAGAGGTTCTTGTGGCACGAGAACTGTGAGGAGTTACATAACCCTCACATCTACGTTATGCAAGCGCTTACCTTCGGCATCAGCTGCGCACCTTGCATTGCTCACTTTGTTCGAGATGTAAATGCAGAGCAATACAAGCAAACATCACCGCGAGCGGTAGAAGCAATACAAAAGCATCATTACGTCGATGACTTCATCGACAGCGTCGATACCGAAGAAGAAGCACTGGAACTGGCACTGCAAGTGAAAGCAATTCACGCTCAAGCTGGATTCAACATTCGTAACTGGGCATCTAACTCATCAGCTGTTCTGAGGCAACTTCCAGGGGAGTCCGTCGAAGATCAAACTCCTAAGGAATTAAGCAATGCAGAAAAAATATTAGGTTTGTTTTGGGATCCAACTAACGATGTTTTTAAGTTTATTTGTAGGTTCTCCAAAATGAGACGAGACATCTTGCAATGTAGCTTGGTCCCAACCAAAAGGGAAGTACTCCAGGTGTTGATGTCCATCTTCGACCCTCTCGGGTTTGTGGCACATTACACCATAGGTCTTAAAATACTACTGCAGGATGTATGGCGATCGGCCATTAACTGGGATGACCCACTCCCAGGTCCGCTTTACAACAAGTGGTGCCAGTGGAAGACGTTGTTGCCAGCAATAACCTCTATTACGATTCCGCGATGTTATTCACAACTTCTAAAAGACTCCGAAAGCAACCAAATCCACACCTTCGTAGATGCCGGCGAGTATGCTTACGCGGCAATTTGCTATTTGCGAGTGAAAAACAAAAACGAAGTCAACACTATCATCGTGGCCGCTAAGTCAAAAGTAGCACCGCTAAAGCCCGTATCTTTCCCGAGGCTTGAACTACAAGCTGCAGTGACTGGCGTAAGATTGGCGAACAATGTGATGAAGGCACTACAAGTTCCGATTCATGCTCGATTCTGGTGGTCAGACTTAAAGACCGTGCTCAAATGGCTCCGCATGGATCCGAGAAATTTCAAACAGTATGTAATGCATCGCGTGGGCGAGGTATTGGAGGCGACCAACGCCACTGACTGGAATTGGGTTCCCTCAAAACTTAACCCTGCTGACTTGGCAACGAAATTCAGCCGGCAACAAAGTTCCGATATCTGGCTGCACGGGCCGAAATTCTTATCTTTCAATCAAACCGATTGGCCGAAATGCGACGACCTCGGACCAGTGGAGCATACTGAACTCCGACATTTTACCTTTCATATAACCAAAGGCGAAACCACACAACCTTTAATCGATGCTGATAGGTTCTCAAGCTGGCGTCGATTATACTTGACGATGGCGATGGTAATATTTTTCGTAGAAAAACTAAAATCCAAGATAAAGAAGGAGCAAATACCTACCGGCGTATGTGACAAGATTATCCACAGAGCTAAGAGCGCGCTCATAAAAGAGGCACAGCAGAGTGAATATCGGCAAGAAGTTATCAACCTCAAATGCGGTAAGAGTATTGAAAGCGATAGCAAACTAATCTCTTTAAATGTCTATTTAAGCGACGAAGGTATACTCAGATCACGGGGAAGAGCCGAAAGCTTAAGAACTGGCGACTCTATAATCTTACCGACAAACAACTCAATCACAGCTTTAATAGTTCGACATTACCACGAACGAAATCATCATCAATTTCATGAAGCAGCCTTGAACTCGATTCGCGAACAATATTATATTCCACGCCTACGAGTACTTTACCGCAAAATACGAAGGTCATGTCAACGCTGCAAGAACGATGGCGCTAAGCCAAATACTCAGCAAATGGCTCCGCTACCAGCTGCACGTTTGGCAAGCTTTGAGCGTCCCTTCACCTATGTCGGAATAGATTTTTTCGGTCCGATACATGTCTCGATTGGAAGGCGCAGAGAGAAAAGGTGGGGAGTAATCTTTACTTGTTTGAGCGTCCGTGCAGTTCATCTGGAGGTCGCACATAGTCTAGACGTCAGTTCTTGTATAATGTGCATTCTGAACTTTGTGGCACGGCGAGGCAAACCACGCGAGATTTATACAGACAACGGCACAAACTTTAAAGCTGCGGAAAAGGCCTTGCGCACAAATGCTAATGGTATCGAAAAGCTAAACATAAATTGTGAAGACGTCGTTTGGCGATTCAACCCACCAGGGGCGCCACATGGGCGGGGCCTGGGAGAGATTAATGCGCTCCGTTAAATCCGTCCTGAATGCTATTTGCCCTTCGAAAGTAGAGCTTACAATCAATTCTCGACCACTCACATTTGTATCTCTCGACAGCGCAGACGACGATGCGCTCACACCAAACCACCTGCTCCTCGGATCTACCGACGGACACAAATCAGTCTTCAACGAGGCATCAAACCTACGACAGCAGTGGCACAAGACACAAGACTTCGCTAACAAGTTCTGGCAACGTTGGCTGCAGGAATATACTCCAATCATTCAACGTAGAGCCAAATGGTTCAGCAAGCGGGCATCAGTCGCAATCGGAGACGTCGTTGTTGTTGTTGATGAGACTCTGCCGCGAAATTATTGGCCGAAGGGTATCATCGTTGATGTCGTAAAAGCAAAAGATGAACAGGTGCGACGGGTAACTATAAAAACGCAAAAGGGTCTAATGCAAAGGCCCGCAACCAAGGTGGCAGTGTTGGATGTCACCGGCAATACTTAAGCAATACTCATCACGATTCCTTTGCTAGGGGGGGAATGTTGCCGCTGGGTATACTCGTTTACACCGCCGGTGGGTATACTTATCACTTTGCCTACCACCTTAGCATACCTATATATACATGAGTGTATACATGTAGTTAAATCATCTTCACTCATACGTACTACAACATTAATAAGCC